CAGGTCGTCTCACTGCTGCACCTGCCAAGAAGGTTGCACGCCGGGAGGCCGTGCCGGTCGCCGATGTGGAGCCTGACAAAGACCCAGGGGAGTTCATTATACACATCGAAAGGGATGATCCTCCTCTGGACGTAGATGAGTTTGTAGCTGAGATGGAAGAATTAGCCTCAGTTGATCCCCCGAAGGGAACATCCAGACCAGATAGTTCTAGACCTGATGTTGTGCAAGTGGACATTTCGGGCAAAAAGAAAGATGAAGGCGAGAAATCATCTAGCCCTCCGGAAGGAGAGGCCTTTGTCGTAGGCTTCTCATCAAAACGGAGCCAAGGTGAAAAGGCACTTAGGGAAGAAGCAAAATCTAAGAGGCATTTACTTTGTCATTTGCCTAAGAATCCATTTTGCAAAACCTGTCAACAAGCTAAGATGTTAAAACCCCCATCCAGAGTATCCGGGGGTGCCAAACACATCGATGCTGAAAGATTCGCAGAGCACATCACTGCCGACTTTCTGATTGCCGCAACCGAAGAAGAGGCGGGGCTTGACGGAGAACAGGTCGCGATGGTAGTGAAGGATGTGGCCACAGATTTTATGCACATTTACCCCAGTGGTAGAAGAACGGCCAGAGATGCAATCTTAGCGTTGAAGCACTTCATAGGACATAATGATGAAGTAGGCATCATGTATAGTGACAATGCTCCTGAACTTCTGAGTGCATTGAGAGAACTCCAATGGAGACATGTGCTAAGTAAGGAGTATATCTCAAAGTCCAATGCAATTGCCGAAAGATCCATTAGATCAGTCCTTGAAGGCGCTAGGGCCAATCTCCACCAAGCTGGGCTACATCATATGTACTGGCCACATGCTGCACGCCATTGGTGCATGATGCAGAATGTCATGTCAAGAACTGGGTCTGACACTCCCTGGAAGATTCGTTTTGGGGAAAACTTTAAAGGTCCATTGATACCGTTTGGTTGTCGTATCGACTACTGGAATGGTCCCAGGAAAAGACGGGTTAAGGATGGACTCAAGTTCGAAGCTACATCAACTGAAGGTATTTTCATGGGGTACGCAATTCATCCTGAATTCATGTGGAAAGAAGAATTCTTTGTTGCATCTTTGAAAAAACTCATTGACAATGCATTCGATGAGCCCGCACAAATCATGAGAGTGATCAAGATCAATCGAGTAGATGACATCACTTTTCCCTTGTCCAACCGGCCAGCTCAAGTCAAGGGCATTGCATCCGAAGATCAAGACGATGATGACGGGGTCGACCGTGACCTCTCCGATCAAGATGCAAAGCCTGCGCGGGAGCCAGAGCCGACTGTGAAGCAGATTGAAGATGGGGAAATGCCTCAATCGTCAAGTGCAAGTGCTGTCTATAATCCAGGATGGCTTGGTTTTCTCAGACACGTTGACAACAGAGAGGGTTGGTATGAATACGCCGAAGCTCGCATAAATGTCAAAGAGTTTTCAGAGAATTTTGTCGAGCCTACTAGCAAGTTCAAAACTGAAGAGTTTCCCTTTAGGACTACTTGCTATAAGTTGGATGGAGTATGGCATGTGCTTGAATCCAATCTGAATATTGATCCACCCGATGGGGATTTGACTGAGGGAACGTTACCATGTGAGGTAATGACCACAATCTTCTCAAAAGAACCCATTGAACTTTGTGAGAAGCCTCCAGAAGTAATCCCAGATCCCGTCGGGGAGGATGATAATCTAGTTGAAGTCATTAACCCAAAGACTGGTGAGGTTGAAAAGATACCGAAAGATGATCCCACTTTCTACGATGCGAGGGGATTCAAGGCTAGAAAGTACAATAAGTCCAGCAAACCTAGGGACATTCCACCCTTTGTTTGGCAAACAATGTCTATCAAGGCCAGACGTGAAGCCATCCGGGAGGAACAGGTCAAAAATTGCCGCCAAGGAAGCCGAGAAGAAACTCAAGGCAAGATCCGAGGCCGAATTGAAAAGACTTGAAAAGAAGAAACCCGGAGTCGCAAGTATCATCAATCAACTCCACAATGCATATGAAGATTGTGATGTTCCCATCATGCCTACTTGTGCCTACTCTGAACAACGGCATCGTGTTAAATTAGCCAGGGTCAGTATCCAAAGTGGTGAAAGGGCTATCAATACCTTAGTAGCCAGACCCGTCAACCGAAAGGAGATCAGATCCAGCCCCAAAGCCCAAGAGGCATTGGATGTTGAATGGAATAAACTGGTCAAGAAGACGGCCTGGTTATATGACACTGTAGCCGAATGGAGGACGGTTTCAGATTGATAAGGCAAAGAAATCCGGCAAGAAAGTTCACGTTGGTAAGGTGTTTGAGATCTGTGTTGAAAAAGGCAGTGAACTCCCCGAAGGTCACAAACTTAGAAAGTTTAAGGGGAGAACTGTTTTCAAGGGTAACAATGTGATGGATGAAAACTCTGACACAGCTTTGTTTTCAGAGTTAGGATCATCGCCAGCTACCATGGAGGCGGGTAAGGCTGTCGATGCATACGGATCCCAACCGGGCCATGCAGCTGAACAGAATGATGGGGTACAAGCATATACTCAAGCATTAATGGAGGGGATTGAGACATGGGTTGAAATTCCCCGAGATCGGTGGCCTAAAGATTGGGTTGGAAGATTTATTAGGCCTGTGGTGTTTTTGAGAATCGCATTGTATGGGCACCCCGATTCGGGGGGTCTTTGGGAGCGCCATTGTGAAGCCATGCTCCAAGCAGTGGGATTCATAATGCCAGATCCGGAAGGCTGGCCGTCAGTATTCTTTCATCCCGAACTTAAGCTTCTTTTAGTGGTTTATGTCGATGACTTCAAAATGGCTGGACCCATAGAGTCAATGTCGAAGGGCTGGAAACTTATTGCATCCAAGATTGACATGGACACACCCGGGCAAGTTAATCGATATCTTGGTTGCGATCATGTTCAAGAAAAGAATGTTTTTCTTTCTAAAGATGATCATCCATTTGCCTACCTTTTCGACAAGTCATTGCCTGACCCGGCCGCGAAATCCGCCGCCGCAGCGCACAGGACTCAGGACTTTTGGGAAGTCGAGCCAGGACGGGGAATATACATCCGACACCACTGTCAACCCCGTAAGGGATACTACGTGCCTGATGAAGATGTCATCCGAGACTGTGAGTTGTCAAGCATCCGTTATACCGATGCAATGTTCAGCTCACCGGAAGGTGTGACGCCGTTCCTGAATGGGATCAATATGTTGATGAGTCAGGCAAGTTGACCCAGGGTAAGAAGCATGCCAACATGTGGGTGGGAGCAACTTATCTGTTCACAAAGGGTTGTGCTGACCCCAAGGCCGCACTGGCATCAATTAAGAGGGACAAAGGTGAAGCCAAAAAGAAAGCCAGAGCACAAGGTTTCTCATACTTGGACCAACTATTTGAAGATCAACCATGTATGACAAAACCAGTCACAGTCATGTTGTATGATATGAAGCCCTTCTTGCAATCATGTGTTGACCGATATGTTCAACTTGCTGGTAGGGATGCCAAGCCGATGAAAAAGGTTGCTACACCGTTCCACGAAGAACGAATAGCTAGGCCCGTCACGGATGAGTCTGAACAGAAGGGTGTACTTGCCCCAATAGCAGCAAGAGTCTTGATGAAGATATTATTTGCAGCTAGAATGGCAAGGTACGACTTACTTCGAGCCGTTCAAGGCTTAGCAGCTCGAATGACGAAATGGTCTGCAGATTGCGACCGAGCATTGCATCGACTTGTCTGTTACATAGACACAACAATAGATGTGAAGTTGAAGGCTTTCATAGGCGATCCTTTGTGCAAGTGCCGTCTGTGGTGTTTTGCTGATGCAGACCACGCCGGGGAATACGATAATCGTAGTATTACCGGTTGTTTCCTTGTACTAATTGGGCCAAATACGTACTTCCCACTAACAGCATTCTCCAAGAAGCAGACATCTGTGTCAATGTCCAGTACTGAATCTGAAGTGGTTGCAGCAAATATATCCCTGCGTGCTGTAACTGTAGGTCTACCTTCCTCCGGTTTATGGGCATACCTCCAGAACGCGGGGGGAGATGAGGCCAAGAAGCATAGCACTCCGGGAGGATTGCCGAACACTTCAATTACCACCCAAACTGAAAAAGATGGTGAGTACTGGGAGTTCATTAGGCACCGAAGGCTTCTAGTGAGAGTGCATCCCAAGAGTAGATCATCCTTGTTCGATCCAACATCCAGCAAAACAATTCCTTTGCCAATCCATCGCCTTGGCAATGCAAGGACAACGTTGATGGTCACCAAGGATGGCATCGATTTCCGTCAGGACCATTGGAGACGGAATCGAAGTTCTACATCGGGACATCATGGTCATTTGTGAACCTTAAACATTTTTAGCAGCAGCCAAAGTCAGAAGACATGTCAAGATTTTTTATGGACTTTGGAAAGCCTTCCTACATTTCATATCGTTGTTGAAGAAGGAGGTATTCATTGCAATTGAATGGCCCCGGAACTGTCGATACTGGAAGTTGAGGAAAGTTGCACAGTTTCTGAACTCAAGACAACTCATTACGTTCAATTTCCATGGATGTATGGTCGGAATAAGAAACAAAGACGAAATCCCAATTAAAAAGCCTTGGGCCATTGCCACAAATTTGCTATCATTGGGGTGTGAGCTATCCAAGTTCCAATGTGACCACTCACATGAACACGTTCAAGGAAGAGGCAAAGATCTTAAGGCAACCGAAAGGTACACGTTCATCATGACGGACCTTGTTCACTCTGTCTTTCGATCAGCTAGTTCTGAAGCTCACCACTTGCTTGTCGCAATTCGCCTTTGTCCTCTGACTGTCATGGCTGGACCACCTGAGAATGCGGAGACGCTGACCAACTGGGTTCCTGACGATGAGAAGGTCTCGTGTATCAGCGGATCATCCAGTGGGAAAACCGCCTGAAAGAGTTGAGGTCTTCTTGCATTTCTGTCGCATATGAAGACGGCATTGCTGGAGTTCAGACGCTCGGCGGGAGCCAGCAGCCGGTGGACATCATCATTGATACGTGCCTTTGTTCGGACATCGAGAAGAATTTCAAGTCCTACAAGGGTATCCTCAAGCTTTTTGAAACTGTTCCCCAGGCCATTTTTGGCCACGTGGACTGCCCACCGGAAGGTGAGGTCGATGTGCTTGTGATCGGTGATTCCTCCACTGCCCTGGTTGACTATCCGGATGATCCCAAGAAACGGAAGGTGATCAGCGTGGGGGAGATTCTTGCACAATCGCCACCTACTGGTGCGCGCAAGGTCCACTGGAAGATGCGATGGGGGAAGGGACTGGGGTCCATCAATGCAGGTATCTGGGAAGCTATGGATGAGATAGCCGAGAAGTGCAAGGAAGATGGCATCCCCCAGATACCGACCCTCATCCTCATCGGCTGGGCAAGCAACGATGTGCACGGGGACCATGGATACCGTGGGTGTAATTGGATCCATCAGTCCCGCTACAGCAAGACGCCTGCCGACCGGAAGGTCGCTGCCGAATTTGTGGAGAAGCAACATGCACGGGTGATCAATGCAATGGATGACCTCATCAAGTTGCAACGTCACACATTGATCCGTGACATTGTTGTGTTTGGGTGCGGTGATGCAGATGCGTATGGCCTGCCACCATCCTATGCCATCGAGATGGGCCGATGCTTTGAGCACCTCATCAAAGGAGGCATTCGATGTGTGTCGACATGTATGCCCTCGATGGCCAGCATCCGCTATGATCGTCTTCACATGACCGATCTGCCCCTCAATCGTACTCTCATGATCAAATTTCTGAGATCGATGGTGAGGGCGCATATTATCGTCATGCAGATTGAAGAACTGGAACCCATCCTGAGGCAGAAGGCATCATTTCTTGATCCTGACCCTGAAGAGCGCATGAAGATCGTCTATCAATATCCCAATCTTGCGCAGTTCAAGTTCTTGGTCTTGAAAACGGCCCAAGTACGGGACGCACTCAGTCCTGCAGCACTACCCACGTCGACCCACGTCACTGGCTCAGGAGGCCCAAACTGCAGATGAGCACATCATGGACCACATGGCCGAGCTGAACGAGGTTGCTGAGGATGAAGCCACCCGGGAGGGTGCGCCGAAGGCAAACGATTTCACTGAGGGAGACTTGTCATCCATCGTCCCTGTCTTCAAAGACGACGTGGACTCGGACGAAGAAGAAGTTCGCCTGAGACAGCATCTCCAGGCAGACTTTGATGAAGCTGCTGACGCAGACTGGTCACCAGTGCGCAGCGAGGCCACTGACAACATCCCAGGAATTGACGAATGGGAGACCGTCGATGACACCCGTCCCGACATCGTTCACAATGTTTATGACCGAGACGACAATGTCGAGGGTCACACTGAGGTGGACTATGGGGCGGACCACGATGATGGGATTGAGGTCGTCGATGAGTTCCCTGAGGCTGTCAATATCCCGGAGGACGCCATGGACGTGGACAAGGTCGAGACCAAGGATGATGACGAGGCTCTGGACGATGTCATGGTGATCGAAGGTCCGGAGACTGTCCATCCTGACGTCGAGAACATGCCTGAAGAGTCCAAGGAGCCTGAGACCGCGGAGGCTGCTGCCGGGGGGACCCTGTGCCTGATGATGTTGTTGATACAAAGGATGACATGAGAAGACCAAGACTGTCATCGATGTTGACGACACCAACACGGCAAAGGGACCAAAGCTCGCCGGAAGGCCTGCCGAAGTTGCTGAACCTGCATCGTCATCGAACCAGCCCAATGCGAAGATGATGCCGCAAAGCTCAAGTTGGAGCAGGCAAAGGAGAGGCTCGAAGATGCAGTGCGGCTTGATCCAACTGACTTGAACAGCAGGATCCCAGACAAGAACATCAATGCCAACGGCCGTCTCCGTGAAATCTCAGGCAAGATGTCCAAGTACCTCCGGGGGCATGCACTTGCTGATGGTCTTCCATCGCCCGACATGGACTTCACCAACTTGTCGATGGACTGGGTGGAGCTCCGCAACCACTTGTGCAACAAGATCCGCAATGTCGTCGATTGGGAGATCCTCCAGGTCATTCGAAGCAGCGATACCAGGAGATTTCAGCTGCAAGTGTGCAAGCCCGACAACGGAAGGGTTTGCCGTGGAAGCCATCGCGTGTTCGTGCCTTTCAAGGACACAACGCCTTCGTGCTGAAGCAGGGCAAGTTTGCTCCGATGATCCGAGAGCTCTACACTCTGGATCCGAACTTCACGAAGGAGATGGTGGACACGGGAGACATTCCCAGGGTCAATTTCCGCCCGGACCTTATCCCCGAGTTCGACAACTTCCCCAGAATCATCTATCACTCGTGTGACAAGGGGGTTGTGTCGCAGATCATCCAGCACGGCTTGATCCCGGGAGGGTGGCCACGGTCTTCGGGACGTGCCCACAGCTACTTCATTGCCACGCACCCATGGGATGCGAACATGAAGAAGCTCGCGGGGACGAGGGCCGGAAAGCCATACTATGTAGCGATTGACATAATGCAGGTGGGGGCCAGACTCCTCAGAACGGACGAAGCAATCATGACTCCGGACTGGATCCCCAACGAGACCATCATCTGCGTTTACAATGCGGCCGAACGGGAGTTCTATTGGTCGCTTAGAGCATATGCTGCCGGACGCAAAAGCTACAACGAAAGGGTCAAGAGATCGAAGGACCAAGGAGATGATGTCGTTCAGGCCATCACCCAGTCCAAGCGCGGCAGGTGCATGGACCTGCTCCTCGAGCAGTGGTCGGACTTTTTGACAGGAGTGGAACCCGGAAAATTCTTTTCCCTGGTCCAGCCCAAGCCCCTCCAGGGAGTCATTCGAGACATGGAAGCTGCCGAAGGCATTGAGTCCCAGGAGATGACGAACTACTTGTCGACTTCTATGCGGCAGTCTCCAACTCCGAGTTCATCGAAGGACGGGGGAAGGGAAAGGGCCAGAATCGGGGAAAAGGAAAGGGTCGCCACCCGGGAGGGAAGGCCGGTGTCATCACACAAATGAAGATTGAAAATCTGAGATACCGAGACTGTGTCACAGCACAAAAGGTGACAATTCCCTTCAGAAAGTGTGACAAGTGCGACCACAACATGCTTGATGGAACAGCAAAGTGTCCGTCCTGCTACGTGTCGATGGAAGCATGGAGTGACAATCGCGTTGCTACAGAAGTTTGCCGGTTGGAAAGCCGTGCCGCAGAGATCAGTGGTGTCTTCGCCCTCAACCAGATCAGCCAAGTGCAGCCCAGAAAGCACAGAGCTGGCTCTGAGGCAAGACAACGAAACAGGGCAGGCAGATCCAACTTTGGTGTCATGAAGGACGGCGCAAAGAAGGAGGTCAAGAAGTTGAAAAAGACCGGATTTGCGACCATCCGTGAGAGAATGGAGAATGATCCTTTCTTTATGTACAACCGTAGCATCGCCCAGCTTACCCCACCATGCTGCGATTTCTTGCATCGCCTGGGCAGTTGCATCTCCCCTGATGTGGGCAGTACTTTCGAGGCCCGAAGGGAAGGCAAGGGGACAGACGTGAAGACTCGGCTGGTGTTCATGCCATTGGAGGGCAGAGACGCCTCGAGGCCCCTGGATGTATCCAAGGAGGCGATGGTGTGCCATTCGGGCAGGTTTTACACACTTGCTCCGTTTGCTGTCTACACAGCGAAATTGGCCCCAGCGCGAGGGGAACCCGCGCCGTCTTTGTTTGGATTTTCAGGCAGTCTTTTGGTCCTCGACGAGCAACCCTTGCAAGAAAATTAGACCTCGTCAGCTTCGCGATCCAGAACTGGACAGATAACCACGGTGCTCTGGATTGGAATGTCCACACAGACGAGCCCAAAGCGAAGGCAAGTGATGTAGTGTTCCCTGCAGCCATGGGTCCAATGAAGACGGAAGGGCTGATCGACAACCCTCGCCGCAACTTCGACCCGAGGGTCACTGAGAGGCATCGTCCCGAAGCCACGACTTGGCGCATGTCGTCTTACGACGAGCCATCAGAGGGCTGCTACCGGTGTGGAGCCCAAGATCATTGGCAAAGGGACTGCCCCTACAGAGGCATGGGAGCTCACTACACTCGAAGAGAGCAGCGCGGTACTTGTGGATATGGCCATAATGATCGTGGCGACCAGTACTCAGGATGGTATGCCGACCAATGGCAGTACCGTGACAGCTGGCGCCAGTGGAATTATGGCTACGAAGACAGGAGATGGGAAAAAGGGTAGCATGGCAAGAAAGGCAAGACCCAGGAGAAGGGCTACACCAAAGGCTCCAAGAAGGGCAAGGGACGCAGCTACTCGGGAGGGTATGCCGCTGAGCGTGAACGTGAGAGATCTCCACCACCATCTGGTGGTGCATCTTCTTCTGCTGCCGTGCCCACTGCTCCTGAGTACCGCCCTGGTCGCAACACCAGGATCATTGATGCTGTGACTCACGAGACGTACACAAGCCAAGGGGTGATCAGAGAGCGTGTTGTGGAGGAGGCCGACGGGACGATGTACTCTGAGATCACCCTCCCTGATGGCACAGTTGAACGGGATTATTGGTAAAAGGCTATGAACATATCAGCATAAATTTTGTTGAATTCAAATCTATTACATTCGTCGCTGAGCACAATCTCATTAAACTTGTTTTCTGTTATTGCCTTGATGCACATTTTTGCCAATCTTCCCCATGGCTAGAAGTAGAAGTTTAGCCGTGGCGGAAGCCCGGCCATGTGTATTTATTTTAGGGCATTGCTTTGTACAGGCGTGTCTTGATGTGTCCGAATGACTCTGTTCTCACGTGCGTTGAAGCCGTGACGGGAGTCCGGCCATGTCGTCATGCTGTGTGCATCCATTTGCATCCGTGCCAAAAGAATTGCATCCGATTTGCATTCGAGGGATTTCGAGGGTTTTCAGATTTTGTGCATTGTATAGTTAATTTTCCATGCACCCTTTTGCAAGTTGCCATTGTGCTGAACAGTTTTCTTTTCTTGCGACAGCTTGGAGCCATACCATGTACATGTTAAATGTCTTGACTTGTATTTGTCTCAGGTCCGGTGGTACTACTTCCTCGTCTTCCTGCCTGCACTACGCTGCGGGCGGCGGGGGGTATTTATAGGTAGTACCAGTATATGTACATAGTATTTATTCTCCATACTTACTGTTGCAATGGCTCAAGAAAAAGCTGATGCGTGTTGGCTGATTTGCTTGTAAATACAAAATGCATACGGCCACATGGTGTTCCACCCAGTGTAGATTGCAGATGCATAGGCACATTCCTTCTGCCTTGCTCCTACAGCCTGGCGCGCGTTCCCGTGCGAGATTTCAATTGCATGTTTCCAAAGGTAGGCAACCAGAACCAGACATGGTTGCAAAGGAATAGTGCTTCGACATGCCCGTCAAAGGAAAAGTGGCCGTGCCGGCTGTTGGTCCTACAGTCAACAGTTGTGCGAATGCAAGGGCAGAAGATGTGCGGAGATGTGACAGTTTTGTGACTATTCAAAATGTTTCAAACCGTTTAGGACATTGATTCTGTGATGCACACCAGGGCGGAAGGCAAAGTGGAAACGCGTCAGTTTCCATTTATGCCGGGGAGAATTCTTGTCAGGCTTGCCTCTGCAGTGTTTTTTCTTGTCAACTAGTCGCTGCAGCGCCCGCTTGCTGCCATGGAATGGATCAGCCAGTTTGATATCTTGTCACATGTGTCCTACGCACCAGCAGCACTGTCAGACCTGACTGCTGATGTTGCTACCGTTGTTAGCTCCCAAGCCTTGGCGCTCACAGACACAGCTCCAAGCACGGCAGATTGGACCCAGACCCAGGCACTAGTGGCAGCCGGGGCCGGGGCAGTCGTAGCTGGCGCGGCATCTTATTTGGGTTTTGAAATTGCTTCTTCTGCAGCTGCACTGGACGACCGCATGCTGGCCAAGCAGGTGTTGAAAATGGTTTATCAGAGAGCAAGTTGGTGCAGCGTCGCCGAGGCAGCATATCTTCCTCAACCCCTGGACCAGACGATGCCCATTAAGACTTTCTTGGAGCAAGCACAAGCATCACGTCCGCAGCAACTTGCGGCAGAATTGCAATCGAAAGGTTGTCAAAGAGTCGAAGATTTGGGGCCGTTGCTGCAGCGTGATCCTGCACTTTGGACAAAGATGCGGCTGCACTCTGGCCACGAGAAGAAGCTGGTTCAGAGCATCAAATTCAGCATCGATCGCTCATGGCCGGCAAACTCCCTTGTGCCAGCACCAGTTGTCTCCAAATCTAGGCTTGATTTTCCGCGCAAGCACAAGTCTTCGTGCTCCCTATTGGCAACTTCCACCATTGTGCTTGCAGATCGTCGGTCCGTGCGGGCATCCCAACTTGTAACTCCTGTGCGAATTCAATCCTTTGACGTGCAGAGAAGTCACATAGCGAACACAAAGGTGGAACAGTGCTCTAGAGAGTCCCTAGGGCGCTTCGGCAACCGCATGATCAGGAAACTCTGCCAGAACTCGGAGGAAGCCTTGTACAAAGTGACCCTTCTCGACCAAATGATCAACCAATACACACTTATTGTATTGGAAGGGCAGCCATTGTGGGGACTGACGCGGGAGGGGTACTCCTGGGTTTGTGCCGGCAATGGCCACGAGCAAAAGGCGTCTCCCCTTACAGTTGGTGACAAGTTGGTGCATTACAGCAAGAAACTATGCGTCGTTGTTGATATCTCTCCGTGGCAGCCAGCGAACAGTACAGACCAGCGCTTGGTACATCTTTCCTTGCAAGGTAAACCAACCATCTTTATTGATGGGTTCTTAGCTTCAGCTTCCAGCTGAGCACGAGCTTTAATGATTGCCAAAAAAGAACACTTCAGCATGCAGCTTGAGAGTGAATGCGGCCTGCAACTATGAAGTCATGGGACTGCCTTTGGAGTGCTGTGTTTTGATGTGTTTTGGCAGTCCGTGTGCCACATGCTTGATAGTTACCCTGTGCGATTTCATGCGGATATTACAGTCCTTTTGGCTTTGAGCTCCATGCAGAGCCGCATGCAGAGAGACAGAACCCACTTGATCTACCAAAATAATCGTTGTTTTGGTAGCTAGCTCACGATTCCACACACACTCTTTCAGGCATTGTGAAGAGGTCATTTGAAGCAGCTAGGTGTGCTTACTGACAATGATGATGCATGGTCCTGTCACTTGGAAATGTTTATCGTTCGAAGCGGGTGCGCCATTGAAGGTCAACCAAGGTCCAAACAGTCACGACTCACAACTACATGTAACAAATAAGGGGATTATTGATCTGAAATGATGGGGGCAAGCGCATTCGCGCCATGAGCGCCTTCAGTTCCAACTGGTTGAAACTGCAGTCGCAGCTTCCGACATCAAAACGGAAGGGCGCCCGGTTGCCAAAGGGCAAGAGGAAGTCAGAAGATGCCGAGGGAGAAGCACAACAATTCAGCAAAAAAAACAAACGTGGAAATGCTGAGACTGCCCAGGCCTAGGGGTGCCTTATTAAAGTATGCCGCGGCAACCTAAGGGACCCGGTGATTTTGTGTGTCAAGATTGATTTGAAGTGGTATTGCTGTGGGAAAAATGCGCAGCATGTTGGCCAGAAGGTCAAGAAAGGCAAGAAGAATCGGAAGGCCCCTTCTCTGACATCCATGAGCCTTGCTTGCGCCACACATTTTTGATGGGTGGGGTTGTTTGTGATGAGGTTTGGACAAACTATTTCGAGTTTCTTGCAACATGCATGTTTAGCCAAGTGCGTTGAGGTTCTTGTGAGTTAGGAAAACGCTCCCATTGCCATGTTGTGAAATATTGAAGCTGCAACGAAGTGCCTAGGATTCAGCTTGAACTCGGCAGATGGGAAATCATGGCCGCTTGCCCTCGATGAGTGTCCATGCTAGAAGGCTGAAGAAATGCGATAGTCAGAGTCAAAGACAAAAAGATGTGAACGTTTTGTATCACTGCCTCGCTGATGCTCCCAGGCATTCATTTGCATCTCATTGCAGAAAACACCAGATTGTGTGTGTGTTGTCTTTTTCTACCACTCACATGCGTGACCGCAATGGTGTGTTGACTTACACATTTTCCTCGCCAATACATGCCAATACTACATGCTGTTGAAATACCATAAACTTCATGCATGCCATATGCCCCATGCTTCCAATGCAGTTATCTGGGGCGGCAACATCTTTTGTAGCTTTGCATTTGAGGACAGCTTGGTGGAGGCCTATGACCAGCACGTTTCACCAGTTCTGGGAGGTAACAGCACTTTGCGAAATGAGCAGAAGCGGAAGCGGCACTTGGAATCTTGGTGCCTCGGCAAGGCTAAGTTGCAACCAAGATCTTGCTTGAATTTCATAATGGGTGTGAAACAAAGCATTGCTGCAAGGAACATTTGATTGGTCTTCTTTTCAGGAGAACATAGGGATAGATCATGTGTGATCTTCTAAATTCTAAAGAAAACCGATAGTCCTAGATCCACAGGATCCCGGATCAATGTCACCAGACTTGACCAGATGTGGTATATGATCGAAGGAAGTTTGGAAGTCAAACTTCCGAAATATGGACAGATGAAAAGCAGAGATGGGAAGAGTCAGAGAAGAGAAGAGAAGAGAAGAAGAAAGAAGATGAAAAAGAGAAGAGAAGAGAGAAGAAAGAAGATCAAAAAAGAGAAAGTCTCCGAAGAAAGAAGATCCAGGCACGCGAAAAAGTAGGAAAGTCGCGAAACACTGCGTTTTTACAATGATTTGTGGCTCGGGAGGGACGAAAAGTAGGCTCGCTAAAGCGGCGGGTGCGGAGCCAGCTGGCCAGATGAGAGATGAACAATTGCATGCGGGTGTGGCGCGAAGCACATTTCCAAGTCAAAATGTACAAAACACCGCCGCTCCGGAGCATTTTTAGAAGTTGCAATGTCGAAAAAGTGCACGCCATTTTGGCGCGAAGCACATTTGCAAGTAGAAAAGCTAAAAAACTTCATTCGGAGCACTTTTCGAAGTTGCGATGTCGAAAAAGTGCACGCGGTTGTTGTGCGAAGCACATCTCGAAGTCAAAAGTGTAAAAAACAGACGGGTTCAGAACACTTTTGGAAGTTGAGATGTCGAAAAAGTGCACGCCGTTGTGGCGCGAAGCACATTTCCAAGTCAAAAGTGTAAAAAATGAGGGGTACGGAGCACTTTTGGAAGTTCAGATGTCGTTTTGCATGGCAGGCGCAAGGGATTGTGCATCTTGTCAAAAGTGAGAAAAACGTGAGGGTTTTGTGGCGTTTCAAAAAACGATGGCAGGCGTGGGACATTGGAAGAGGATCTGCCAAGATGAATTTTCCCTGGCAGGCGCAGTACAAGAGACATGTTCATTCATCAGAGATGTTAGGAGGTCAGGGCGCTGATTTCCTGAGAGGGGTTGCATTTTGGAGCATCAGATCTGTCGGTTTGCTAAGATGATTTTGCGTGACAGGTGCAGCACTTCGTATGACCTGGCATCAGTTTTCGTGGCAGGCGCAGTACTTTAGACAGGTGGAATCGAAAAATCGCAAAACGCATTGGTACGAGGCCGTCAGCTCTGCACTCAACTTTCCATTTTTGAAGGAATTGCTTCAGTTTTGATGTTGTCAACTCGGAAAATTGAGGAAGTCTCGCAGAATTGTTTCGTTTTAATGTTGTCAAATTCGAAAAATGAGGAGGTCTCGCAGACTTGCTGCGTTTTCAAGCTTGCCGGTAGACAGACAGACAGACAGACAGACAGGCAGACAAACAGATAGATAGATCGATAGATAGATAGATAGAGAGATAGATAGATTAGAATAGAACAGGTTAGATTAGATTAGATTAGACTAGAATAGATAGATAGATAGACAATTACAACTACAACTACCACTACACTACACTGCTGCTGCAACTACAACTATATACAAATATACTACGCTACATTACACTACACTAATTACATCTAATTGCTCTACACTACGCCAATTACACTAACAGCTGCCACAACAACTACTACCACAAGTGCAACTACAAGTACAACTACACTACACTGCACTAATTACACTGCAGCACACTACAACTACAAATACAACTACAACTACAACCACACTACATTGCACAACACTGCGCTACGCTGATTACATTGCATTACACTACAATTACAACTGCAGCTGCAACTGCAACTACAACGACAACTACCACTACATTACACTACGCTACACTACACATACTACACTGCACTACGCTATACTACACTAATTACACTGCACTACGCTACAACTACAACTACACTACCTTACACTAGACTATACTACACTATACCACACAACACTACAATACACGACACGACATTGCTGAGCACTACACTACATTAATTACATTGCACTGCACTACAACTACAACTACACTACCTTACACTAGACAACACTACACTATACCACGCTACACTACACAACATTACACGACATTACAGTGCACTACACTACGCCAATTACACCACACCACGGCTACAACTGCAACTGCACTTGCAAATGCACTAATTACACTGCATTACGGCTACTGCACAGCTCCACTACACTACAACTACAGCTACAACCGCAACTACAACTGCAACTGCACTACACCACACTACATCCAGCAGTTGTGGTGAGGTGACCACTGCAACCATTGCAACCACTCCAGAAAACACAACTCCAACCACCTCTCGGTCCATCAGTGGATTCGCTCTGCCATCCGTGAGTCACGACAACCAACCATTCGTATAGGTTTCCTATTTTTGAAACTTCCGCCACCGCCTTGTGTCAATATACTTGACTGCTGATTCAGCAGCCTCAACATGTACACCTTGTCATGCCAGTACCTGTGGTACCCAAGGCTTTGGTCGCGGCTCTTCTTTCCACTGCTTCCATTGGGAGAACCGACGACCACGGCCATTTCAGCAGGGGATGAAGCCTTGCAGCGGAAACTGTGCAATGCCGGGCTCTCCAAGAAGGCCAGGGGAGCGAAAGCGGCTGGTAACTTGTGGGGGATGCATCGCAGTTGACATGTAATAACCTTGGTATAACCTATCGTGTGTGAGATTTAGCATTGTGATGTACACATAACTAATAACTATATATCATATATGATGTGAAGCCACATATACTCAGTGGCATGCACATTTGCAACACATCTATCAAGTACTCACCATGTTTGCAGCTTGCCCCAGGAAGCCCGGCGTCGAATCGAACGACTCGCAACAGTCTTGTCCAGCGAAATTCCGAGTTCAACGGAGAAGATCGTTGTGCAGGTGGAAGAAAACACGATGACACTTGGCCATGGCATGCAATGACAGCCATGACCATATTCCGGTGATGCTTGATTCTGTTGCCCCCGGATATGTCATTGAAAGTACTTTGGGGTCTATCGTAATTTAGTTTTCCTTGTTTCACCCTGGCCAATCTGAACTCTAGATGTCAGGTATGTGACTCTCACCAAGAAATGGTATGCTGTGTCACATTCAAGGACAACACTGAAGTGTGGCAAGAGACAAGTGCAGCTCCTGCGAGAGTACTTTGCAAAACTGAAGAGTTTGACTCAGCGAAAGGCGGAAGACTTCAATCAGGCCGGGACTTGCCTTTTGGCAACAAGAGATGGTAGTACTTCTGGAAGGAGCTTTAATGCAACCAGATATTGACTGTCGTTAGTGTCTTGTCTTCATGTTTCACTTGCAACAAATCACTGTTTTGGATGTTGAACCCCGCGAGGCTGCTTTTCTGGTCTTAGCCAGATATCGCATTTTGCAGGTCCATGACAAAGGCCTGGAACTGAAGGTTTCAGAAGGCAGTTCTGAAGCATCCATTGTGTTATATAATCTGAAAGTGGGGGATATCCATATACTTCATATCTTTCATGAATTTCATTGGACAAATAAGGACTAACCTGAGACTTTGGCCTATTTTCCGGCCCAAGTTATCGCATCCAGGTGGCGGTAACCAGGGCGCAATCCCTCCAGCGGTGTTCAATGCTTTGAGAGAATGGTGGCCACATTCAGAGCCTGTCGAAGCATTTGCATCCCCTTTGAACCTTAGCAGGAGATGTATGTGGGTATACCCCCCAAATTCCCAACTTATGCCCAGTATTGAATGTGATGATGGAGAAGTGGATTTTAAGGGTATAGTGATTTTGGGGAGGGTTCCGAGAAGTGAAAATCTGGTTTGCTTGTTTGGCTGAGTTGGTGAACAGATGTGACAACTGTCAGCTTCGCTTTGAGGAACACATTGGCTGGAAAGGGATCCTTGTTTGACTTCAGCATTTTCCAGATGCAACAGCTTGTCCTGCTTGCAACGTGTCCGACAGGATGAACAGATTGGTAATCGTGGTGAAAAACTCTTATAGACTTCAACTCAAACGTTGCACCTTTTCTTTCCTCATGATCTCATCTCTTTCTTTCGCCAGTTTGTTTTGCGCGTGGCGTTAAGGAAGTTATCACAGCGCTTTCAGCGACACTGATCGCATCTTCGGTTCCAGAGGATCCTTCTTTGATTCGAGCTTTGAGGAAGGCGGGGAGCAAAGATTCAAAGCCAGGAGATGTGTTGAAACATGCAAGTACGCATTCATTTTTACGAAAGCCAGCCGATAGGCTAGGCAAAGTTGTTTTGGCGAACGAAGTGAGTATAGGGGGTCTGGGGGGTGGACGTTGCCGTGTGGGCCACGGAGCTCGAAATTGGGTGGTGAGGAGGTCGTCCAAATGGTTTTTTTGGTGGGGCATGTACCACTAGGCAAAGTGGTGACGGTAGGGTTCGATTCCCCCTAGGTCCCTTGAATCCGGTAGGAAAAAACTAAGGAATTTTATTTTTCTTCGAGTGATCCCCACCATGACATATCATGGTGAGGATCACACAGATACCAGCCACTCCCTTTGCAAGCAAGCCATTGCGTTTTTTTTGTCTGTGACGTTGCTAGCCGGTCTGCCGCAAAGAAACACAAATGACGTTCCTTCGAGTGATCCACTAAAATTCTATTCGACATGATCTTGTATTCTATCTGGAGTATCTTCTGGCATTCTGTGTGGCTATCTTCTGGTCGTTTATCTGGCAAATCTTCTTTCTGATATTCTATCCTGCATATTTCTTTCTGCCATTCTATCTGGCATATCTTCCAGCATTTTATCTGGTATATATTTTGGCGTTCTATCTGTCATATATTCTGGCATTCTATGTGGCATTCTTTCTCGCATATATTTTGGCATTCTATGTGGCATTCTATGTGGCATATATTCTGGCAGTCTATCTGGCATATATTCTGGCAGTTTTTCTGGCATATATTCTGGCATTCCATCTGGCCGCTGAGGTCCAGCGGTGCCCACTGAGCTCGGAAGGTCCCAGGTTGAGGTCCAGCGGTGCCCACTGGGCTCGGAAGGTCCCTAGTTGACGTCCAGCGGTGCCCACTGCGCTCAGAACCTTGCAGTTGAGGTCCAGCCGTGCCCACTCAGATCGGAGGCCGGCCGTTGGGGCCCAGCAGTGCCCACTGTGCGCGGAAGTTGGCGAAGAGGGAAGAGTTGGCAAGGCGGAAGTGGACGTGGAAGTGGAGGCAGAGGTGGTGGAGGTGAAGGAGGAGGACGAGGAGGAGGAGGACAAGGAGGAGGTGGAAGAGCTGTGATAAAATCTAACAACCCTCACCTGGCAGGTGGGGAATGAAGGAAAATCGTAAAAACAGGGGGAAAATGGAGGAAAATGAAGGAAACCTGTGAAAGACCCCTTAAACTGGAGGAAAAAATGAATGGCAAGCTTGGAAAAACCGCTTGGAAAAACCAAGGAAACCGAGGAAACCGTTGGGAAAATGAGGAAATTGCAGGAAGGAAGCCCTGGAAAAACTGTAGAACATAGAGGCAAGCATATTGAAAAGAATAAGGATCTGAAGCTCAACGGCGTGCGGCCTCCGTTGGGGTTCGGAGCAAGACGGTTTGCAAGGGGATGAGGAGTGATGCCGATGCCGAGGAAGGTCTTTCACACACCAACTTTGACACACGATCTTTCACACAATCTTTCACACACCACTTTGTCACACACCATCTTTCACACACAACTTTGTCACACACCATCTTTCACACACAACTTTGTCACACAGGATCTTTCACACACAACTTTGTCACACAGGATCTTTCACACACCGTCACAGACCATCTTTGACATACCATCTTTCACACCACTTTGTCACACACCATCTTTCACACACGTCACAGACCATCTTTCACACACCATCTTTCACACACTTGCTCAGAAATATCTTATCGAATTACTGATGTGGAATGCATCGTACGTGCAAAAACACTTCAATTAAACCTGACAGGAGTAGTTGGATGACCAGAAGTGAGAACCCTTGCGGAGGAAATCTTTCTACGTCCTTGCTAGATGTAACAGTTCCATCTGAACCAAATCGTGATCTTCCTTTACAGATTTCGACATCATTGCAGCGAAAATTGCAAAATTGCAAAATGACGACATGGAGGTTCTTGGGTTGAGCCTCTTCCCATGACTGAAAAAGATTGAGCAGGTACGTGGATTGAGCGTCCCCAATCCATATCACTGTGCAACAGATGCGTCTTCGTTGGATGGAGACATCTGAAGCACACTCCATCCCACTGCTGAAATTCAGATTGGAAGCCTTTGCTGAAAATCAGGTTGAAAACCAAACTAAGATTAGAACCTCAGGCGAACCCCTGCTTGATTTCGGAAAATACCCAGGTAGAAGTTTTACATCTATTCAGATGTTCCACACACACACACACACGCCCCGCTGCCGCAGGGCATTTAAGGCCCCGACGAATGAGATGAAGGTGAAAATGAGAGAAATGGAAATGAAATGACGATGAAGATGAAATGACAATTACTTAACCGGAACACAAGAGGGGGAACGCAAAAAGGAAAAGGGAAGGAGAAAACACCAACACCAACACACCTAGCCCGAAACGGGCAAAACCTCAAAGGGCAAGGGAAAAGAAGAAGCGGACGGACGACGGGCCAAAAACCAACCAGAGGAGGGGGGGGCGGACAGAAGCGCCTGACACAACCTACAAGGCGAGAGCCAAAACCTACCTCGGCACGCGAAGCACCCAAACCTGACCTAGAAAGGGAGCACGCATGAGATAGGGGACCAATGGGGACTTAGTTGATGAAAATTGATGCATCCACATTGTCATGCAGCGTCCCCTTGTTAGGCTCAATGGCCAGAGTTCAGATCAACCCTATAGACAGCTGAAGTAGTCAACCCCTGAATTACGTGCACAATTGAACCTCACCAAAAAAACAAAAAAGAAGTGACCACACCTGAAAAGCATGTCCTGTTGCCTGAAGTTTCATGTGAAAGGGCTGCGGACAGTCTCTTGAAGCAACAGGAAGGATGTTGGCGCAGCTTCAGGCTACAGACCCTTGCAGCACGGAAAATGGTGATCCCACGAACCGCGGGCAGTTGTTCAACCAAACGACTTCGACAGGGTGAGAATCGAAAAATGGCCAGCAGTTCACTTTACTTAGACGAATTACCAATTCAAAAGTGTAAATTCAGAGATCGTTTCAACGTGTCAATCTTTAGCCTGGAAAGGCTTTCCCCGAGGGGTTCATGCCACCTTCACGAATCCAGCATGAAGCACACGCTTGCTCAGAAATATCTTATCGAATTACTGATGTGGAATGCATCGTACGTGCAAAAACACTTCAGTTAAACCTGACAGGAGTAGTTGGATGACCAGAAGTGAGAACCCTTGCGAAGGAAATCTTTCTACGTCCTTGCTAGATGTAACAGTTCCATCTGAACCAAATCGTGATCTTCCTTTACAGATTTCGACAACATTGCAGCGAAAATTGCAAAATTGCAAAATGACGACATGGAGGTTCTTGGGTTGAGCCTCTTCCCATGACTGAAAAAGATTGAGCAGGTACGTGGATTGAGCGTCCCCAATCCATATCACTGTGCAACAGATGCGTCTTCGTTGGATGGAGACATCTGAAGCACACTCCATCCCACTGCTGAAATTCAGATTGGAAGCCTTTGCTGAAAATCAGGTTGAAAACCAAACTAAGATTAGAACCTCAGGCGAACCCCTTGATTTCGGAAAATACCAAGGTAGAAGTTTTACATCTATTCAGATGTTCCACACACTAGACAAGAATGGATCATTATAGTGATCCGGCAGGAACTGAATCCTGTAACATGCAGATTAGACAGGAATCGAATTAATATACGATGAAGATTATATATATATGTAAGATCACAGTAGACAATGACAGTATAAAACAACAGCGATATAATATATTATATGTCCCCCCAGCTGCGTCTTAAATGCGCCCAGGGCGGGACAAGGCAGGTACGTTTACCTGATCTCCAGTGTGGAGCTTCGTTGGCAGAGGCCACAACTGGAGATCCCTCTGCCCCCTGCCATAAATAAAAATATAATATCATATAATATAAGGACGAAGTTTAACGTCTATTCAGACGGTACACACACACACACCCTGCCTCCGGCAGGGTGGTGCGCGTAAAAATGAGCTGAAAATGAGGATGAACGGGGGATGAAAGATGAGATGAGAGTGAAAATGAGATGAACGTTACTTAACCAGGACGCGAAGAGGGGAACGCAAAAGAAGAGGGAAGGAGCAAACACACACCAACACACCTAGCCCGGAGCGGGCGAACCCTGAAAAGGCAAGGGAAAAGAAAAAAGCGGAGGGTCGACGGACACGGACCAAGACCAGCGGAGGGGGGGGAAGACGGAAGCGCCTGAACCAACATGCCACAGCGAAAACCTACAAACAACCTCAGCACGCGACGGAGCCAACCTACCTGGGGAGGGAAGAGAGCATGAGATAGGGGACCAATGGGGAACTAGTTAGTGAAAAACAAAAACAAAACCAGGATTCAGCTCCTAAAACCTAGAAGTCGTGCGTTGTGCCACTCCAGGCCCGTGTTCAGGTCAGCCACAATAGGCATAAACGGCTTTCAAGTTCCAGCGAATTAGGTGCACAATATGTTTGACCTCACCAGAGAACCATCAAAAGAAAGAAGACCACACCTAAAGATCGTGTACCTGCCTGCGTTCTGTCTCATGTAATGTAACTGCAAAGGTTGCTGCGAAAAAAGGAGGTTTCTGAATGTTCAGAACAGCTTCAAAGATGAAGAAATGCGTCGGCGAGGAATCCCTGGGACCACAGGAGCCGCGGGACGTCGTCAAAGGCACAAAACGGTAAGGCCATCTGTTGCACATTACTTAAACAAATTACTAATTCAAAAGTGTAAATTCGGAAGTCAATTCAGTCGACATTGACCCCAACTGGGGTTGCCTCAATTGGCCCTATAGCACCATGTCGGAGTCACCATAGGAATCACACTAGACAAGAATGGATCATTATAGTGATCCGGCAGGAACTGAATCCTGTAACATGCAGATTAGACAGGAATCGAATTAATATACGATGAAGATTATATATATATATGTAAGATCACAGTAGACAATGACAGTATAAAACAACAGCGATATTATATATTATATGTCCCCCCAGCTGCG